GGGTCGAGGGGGCTGTTGATGACTATATCTTAAACTTCTGGAAGCTAGCGTGATATGTTAACCCTGAGTATATGCTTTTGGCTGTGTATTGACCCTGTGGATTTGTCTCTCTAAGAAAAGAAGCTGAGCGCCTTACCTGATGCAGTCCGGCACCTGTCTCTCTCTCTCTCTCTCTCTCTCTCTCTCTCTCTCTCTCTCTCCCCACTCCCCCGGAGTCATCTGGAAGGGAATCCACACTGTTTAGCATCCTCCTTGACACACATCTGCTGCCGTCACCGCCCCCACTACAACGTTCCTGGGAGTGAAGACACGGAGTCCCTACTAATTGCCCATTGTAGGGAACAAAGAAAGCCAATGTTTCTTCTGTGTAGATTGCTTCTCATCCACCTCTCCATATCCCCCATTTCCCACAAGCTCGTGCCCTGTGTCTGCCTCTCTTTCATCATTCCGTGAGAGGCTCACGTGAAACCTTCCATTCTTATGTGAGTTTTATAAAGATGTACACTGTGCTTAACCCCTGCCCATCCTTGGTATCCCCAAGTGTGATAAAGGACCCCCTGGGTGGCGCTTCCTCCCGGCAAGGATTAGGGGAGCTCCTTCTGCAAAAGCCAGCCCCCCTCTTCCTTGCCTCTCCTCCCACAGGACCAAGTTGTTTAATGGGCCAGAGATGCAGCCAGTGGGGAACCGTTGCCCCCCGCGACCACTGCGAGCCTGCCTGCTGACGTGGTCTGCCTCTTCTCCCAACTTCTTGATCTTGCCCCTTCACCACTCAGGCCCCGCCTGTGTCGTTCATTCCACTGCCATCCTTCACCTCTCCCTCGGCTTCACGGAGAGAACATATTTTCTAATGTCTGTATATAGTATATATACTACATAAAATATATAAATTCTATATATATACTAATTTATGTCTTGTTTTTCAAACAAGAATGATTAAATCTATTCATCTTACTATCCCAATAAGTCTTTGCAGTGCCTCTATGTGGGTGTCCTTGTGTCCTTGAATTGTTGGTTGCTGGGTGCTCCCCCGGGCCTCTGTGCCCATCTACCTGGGCCCCGGTGGTTGACGAGAGATGAGGACCCTGCTCCTCCCACCTCCCCTTTGCCCCTCTTAGAAGTCTCCTGATGGTCACGGGAGTTGAATACTGTCTACTCCTTTCTCTTGATCTTGGGTCCTTTGGCTCACCTGGCCACCATGGCTGTGACCTCAGAGCTGATGGGGTGGGCTGGGCACATAAAAAAAAATGTGCTTCTCAGCACCAGACAGCCTGGGAATTGGGAGATAGGGATTCAGGTCAGCTCTCAAGTTGCTTTGGGAAATGGGGCCTCTCCCTCTGAAACGTTCCCAGTCACCCCAGAACGTAGCTTGACTGCCTTGTAGCTCAGGCTAGCCAATCCCTTGCAATGGCCTCTGGCGATTTCTTGAGAGAGGGGTATTTTCATACAAAAGAAGCAGCAGGACCCTAAGCAGAGCTGACTTCTCTGGCTTTTCAGAGAGTTACCTAATGGTGGGTGATGATTCTATTTCTCCTGTTCTAGGTCCTTCCGGTATCACAGGTCCCCTCTAGCCTATGAGATGCCTTTGTGCCAACTAGAAAAAGATTCTCCCTGCTGCACCTACCCACCATGATGAATTAGAAAACAACAGCAACAAAAAAAAAAAACCGTCCTCTGGGTGATGCTAGACCTGTGGGCACACGTCTTGGTAATTTCAGCCCCACTTACTTTGATGGCCGGTTGTGCAAACTATACAACCATTTACAGTAGCCCTGATGAGTCACTTGCTTCCACAGCTTGGGCACAAATGTTTTTTCTCATGTTTGCAAAAGTCGTGGCTAAAGTGGTTTGGGACAGGGCAGACAGCAGAAGCAAGAAGAGCTAAAATTCTGCAGCCTGTGGAAGGAAAACCACATTCACAGAAAGATAAAGTGAAAAGGCAGAGGACTTTGTAGCAGATGAAGGAACAACATAAAAGCCCAGAAAAACAATTAAATGGGGCTTCTCTGGTGGCGCAGTGGTTAAGAATCTGCCTGCCAGTGCAGGGGACATGGGTTCGATCCCTGGTCCGGGAAGATCCCACATGCCAAGGAGCAACTAAGACCGTGTGCCACAACTACTGAGCCTGCACTCTAGAGCCTGCAAGCCACAACTACTGAAGCCCACACGCCTAAAGCCCATGCGCCGCAACAAGAGAAGCCACCTCAATGAGAAAGCCGCACACCACAATGAAGAGTAGCCCCCACTCACTGCAACTAGAGAAAGCCCGCATGCAGCAACGAAGACCCAATGCAGCCAAAAATAAATAAAATAAAATACAGACATTTATATAAAAAAATAAAAACTTTTAAAAGCAACTAAATGAAGTGGAGATAGGCAACCTTCCAGAAAAAGAATTCAGAATATTGATAGTGAAGATGATCCAGGACCTTGGAAAAAGAATGGAGGCAAAGATCGAGAAGATGCAATAAATGTTTAACAAAGACCTAGAAGAATTAAAGAACAAACACCTAGAAGAATCAAAGAACAAAGAAACAGAGATGACCAATACAATAACTGAAATGAAAAATACACTAGAAGGAATCAATAGCAGAATAACTGAGGCAGAAGAACGGATAAGTGACCTGGAAGACAGAATGCTGGAATTCACTGCCACAGAACTGAGTAAAGAGAAAAGAATAAAAAGAAATGAAGACAGCCTAAGAGATCTTTGGGACAACATTAAGCCCAACAACATTCACATTATAGGGGTCCCAGAAGGAGGAGAGAGAGAAAGGACCAGAGAAAATATTTGAAGAGATTATAGTCAAAAACTTCCCTAACATGGAAAAGGAAATAGCCACCCAAGTCCAGGAAGGGCAGAGTCCCAGGCAGGATAAACCCAAGGAGAAACACACCAAGACACGTAGCAATCAAACTGACAAAAATTAAAGACAGAGAAAAATTGTTGAAAGCAACAAGGGAAAAATGACTGACATACAAGGGAACTCCCATAAGGTTAAGAGCTGATTTTTCAGCAGAAACTCCCCAAGACAGAAAGGAGTGGCATGATATATTTAAAGTGATGAAAGGGAAGGACCTACAACCAAGATTACTCTACCCGGCAAGGATCTCATTCAGATTCGATGGAGAAATCAAAAGCTTTACAGGCAAGCAAAAGCTAAGAGAATTCAGCACCACCAAAGCAGCTCTACAACAAATGCTAAAGGAACTTCTCTAAGTGGGAAACACAAAAGAAGAAAAGTACCTACAAAAGCAAACCCATAACAATGAAGAATATGGTAATAGGGACATACATATTGATAATTACCTTAAACGTGAATGGATTAAATGCTCCAACCAAAAGACACAGGCTCGCTGAATGGATACCAAAACAAGACCCATATATATGCTGTCTACAAGAGACCCACTTCAGACCTAGGGACACATACAGACTGAAAGTGAGGGGATGGAAAAAGATATGCCATGCAAATGGAAATCAAAAGAAAGCTGGAGTACCTATACTCATATCAGATAAAATAGACTTTAAAATAAAGAATGTTACAAGAGACAAGGAAGGACAGACACTACATAATGATGAAGGGATCAATCCAAGAAGAAGACATAACAATTATGAATATATATGCACCCAACATAGGAGCACCTCAATACATAAGGCAACAGTTAACAGCTATAAAAGAGGAATCGACAGTAAGACAATAATAGTGGGGGACTTTAACACCTCACTTACACCAATGGACAGATCATCCAGAAAGAAAATTAATAAGGAAACACAAGCATTAAATGACACAATAGACCACATAGATTTGATTGATATTTATAGGACATTCCATCTAAAAACAGCAGATTGCACTTTCTTCTCAAGTGCACATGGAACATTCTCCAGGATAGATCACATCTTGGGTCCCAAATCAAGCCTCAGTAAATTTAAGCAAATTGAAATCATATCAAGCATCTTTTCCAACCACAACGCTATGAGATTAGAAATGAATTACAGGGGGAAAAAAAACACACACACACACAAAAAGATATACGGAGGCGAAAAAGTAC